GCTATCGAGCTCAAATACTCAGCTATTCGTCTTTCGTTTCGATCTCGTTCCACTGCGTCTCTTTTGGTCCTTTTATATGTAGGCGATCGTCTCGGCGGCGGTCTCACACGTATTCCGCACGAAGGAATGATAAATCGTTGTCTTCCTCTTATACTCACCCTCTCTCTTTCTCTCTTTCTCCCACCTCTCGTTGCGGTCGATCGAACTTCCTTTAATGTCGTAAAGTTGGCTTTTCTCCTCGCGGGATCGAAGATCGTCGTGGACAAGCTCCTCCGGAGGGTGGGGCAAGCAGGGGGGGGTTACGCCGTCGCGCTTGAAGTTCCATTTTTGCGCGGCGGATAACAACTACCGCGCGGTAGCCCCCCGACGGGTATTGATTTATCAACTACAGGCAATTAATCGAGCATCTCTTGCGTCGGTTCTTTATGACTTTTGCTTGCGAACGCGCGCGCGCGCGCACAATCCCCGGGCTGGGATTTCATAAGCGGGATGATTAGTGTTCCCGCGCTCGCGTCGATCGGGAGCGAACGATCGACTTTATGCTATTTTGCTCTCTTCTCGTCTTTTTTTTTGTAGTATATAGTTATTATCCGCAGAGCTTTTTGATAAACCTTTATCGGAAATTTGCGCTGAAATCCATCATATTGCGCGCTTGCTGCATAAAACAAAAGTTTCGCTCGCGCGATCGCTCCGAGATTATAAATAAATATAATATGCGTGTGTGCTCTCGCGCTCGCGTTCTCTACGCTTATATCAACGCGCAAATCGTTGAAAATTTATTTACGCGGTTTATGTATATATTCGTGGAAAATGTTACTCTCCGCGTTGGCGAGAAAAGCTCGCAACGAGTCTCAGCGCGCGAGCGAAAGCCATAAACTTGAAATCGAATTACGAGCGAGAGAGTCGCGTACGGGGTCACCAACGGAGCGTTTGTGAAATATATATAACGGAGCTGCGCTTTTTGGGAAAAGCCTCGGCTGTAGCTGTCGACGCGCGCGAACGATGCATCCGTCGATCTAATTGCCTCGCTGCGCCGCAATAGGGAGATATCTACGAAATGAGGGAAAAGCCTCTGCAGTCTGCATCGCCGCCAATGGTGATTGCGCGGCTGTACCGCCACGCGTCACACATCGTTTGAAAAGCCTCTCTCTCTCTCTCTCTCTCTCTCTGCGTACGCATGGAGATGTATTATGCGCATATACACATACGTCTGGACGATCCAGAGCGTGACCTCAAAATTAACATGCAAATTTGTCGAATAATTATTCTAACTGACTGCGTCTCCCGCGGGACAATCTATACGCGTGCATATACGTATACCATAATACGAGCTACGGTGGAGATTTTCCTGATTTATCGTTTGAGTAGTATATGCCGGTGCGTGTGTCCGTTTTTTTTTTCATATTTTTCAGTCGCAAGCTCGATAGAGAGAGAGAGAGAGAGAGAGAGAGAGAAAGAGAGGACGTTGTGGAGCAATCGCAGAAATATAACGTAGGTGAAAGTGAACTTTGGTCGCAATGATCAACGACGGCTTTCGGTATGGTATATGGTGGAGCGCGTGGAGTCTTGCCCCTCTCGTACTGCATAGTGGTTAAATTAGTGACAACAGCTGGGCTGCCATTCGGATTTCTCGAACAAGCGGAGGACGAGAAACGATGATAAATTAGAGGGTAATAGTGCCGTGAGGTTAAAGCGCTCGTGATATTGACAAGTTGTTAACTCGACGCGCGTGCAAACAACTCCGGGATATATTCGCCCACAAATAAGTAGAATAAATAAGTGGTATAGTCAGACAACCGTTCACATATGTAGAGATGTCGTTCAGAGAGATTTTTTCGAACTTGAACATTTTTTTTAATGCGTTTCGTATAACCTGTCAGTGTGTCGTCGTCTGTAAATTTCTTCCATGCTCATTGTTAATTTTGCGTCGTTAACATTTTACGCGGTAGCTCGTAAATTTATTCGAATTTCAGCTCGGCGACGCGCGGCCTTTTCCGAAATTTCTGCGCTTCGAGTTCATTGTTTTGGAAATAGGACGATGTGGCACGCGCGCACGCGTTCGTGTCTCTTATTTAAAACAGAAAGATTAATTGCATGAGCGGCTCTCTCTCTCTTTCTCTCATTACATCGAGAATAAGTCGAGCGCAATGATAGCATAAGGAGATTAATTGTTTTGGTGTTTAACTTTTTCATTTGGCTATTTTTCTCTTTCTCTCTCTCTTTGGAGCTCTGCTCAGGCTGCTTTTGCCATTACCACTGCTGCTGCTGCTGCTGCTGCGCATGGAATAGCTTCATCTCCCTACAGTACAAACTGTTTCTAGAGCAACTTTTGCAATTTTCTCTATCCTCAATCACCCTTGTGCTTTGGGCCTTGCTTCCAGCATCTTTCTTCCTCTCTCTCTCTCTCTCTCTCTCGCTCTTTCCCTTCTGTCTCGCGTTGTTATGAGACATTTTTTGCGCTTTACCTCTTTTTTTTTCGCTCTTCTCTGTCTCCGACTGTTTCCGAGGTCTCCGGCGGTCCCGAGAGAAAGACTCAGTGAAATGACAAATGGCAATGGTCTAGTTTGATTTTTTCTTAAGGAAAATCTCCTCGGACAGTTTTTTCCCTCCTTTTAACACCCGAAATTTTACCTTCGAATTTGCATCGTTGTTTGCGTGCAAAAAAAAAATATTCCTACCGAACACTCTCGAGTACCTAAAATAAGATTGCTTATCATTCCGTGCGTAAAGTGAATTCTCGAGGTCAAAGACGAGCGTTTTACCCTCAAAACATATTTTTTTAGTCGAGAAAAACGATTTCTACAAGCAAGAGTGCTATTTTTCTTCTTGAATTAATAATCCAGCTCGAGCTCATTCATTTTGACGGTAAGCTAGAGGAATATTAATCTTTAATTCAATAAGGGTAACTTTGCATTTAGAAATACTTTATTCGTACCCGCGCGTGCTAATTTAATCAAGCGAACCGCGCTCGTCTTAATCATGGATCCGTGCGGACGCAAAATTCTTCACTTGCTCAATCTAACCGAGTCCATTTTATTTTCTTTATATACACATGTACAGAGCGTTCTCAGTATTTATACTACTCACACACACGCTGCAGGACTTTTCATTGTTTATGGCCATCGGTTGGTCCTGGCTATTCTTATACTCTACTAGACTCACGTTCTGACTTTTTCCCTCGTCCTCTCTCTCTCTCTCTCCTTTTTTTGCGCACATAAAAATAAAATAAAAAAGAAAGCGAAACGAAAGGAGAGAGAAAGAATAAGAAAGAAGAAGCCTCGACCCCGTTTCTTATGTCGAGCTACCTTTTCAGGCTCTATATTTTCCCGTGGCCAGGAGAGCTTTGATATAAGCGAATTGTATAAGGTGGGAAAAGAAAGCAAAAGGAAAGCAGCACGAGGGCAGCAGCAGCAGAAAAAAAGAAATAAAAACGGAGTTTGATCGTATTATTCTTACGAATGAGATGGCATTATCCTCTGCATAAATCCGCGACCGGAGTTGTTTTAGGTAATGTTTCACATGGTATGACTCTGAATATACTCTGTTTTCATTTTAATGGGGAGTTCATGTTGTAAAACTCATGTGCAGAGGAACATGCTTGAATTATAGAAGTATGTTTTTTTGTCGGGTTTTCCATATTTTATTTTTTACCACGAAGTTGTTCTGCTCTTTTCCCGAGGAAATCTTGAAATAATATTGTTCAAAATTTATTTTACAAACATCGACGGAAAAAATGACATCTTACAGGGGACACAATACCCGCAAAATCCTTCATCAAAGCGCGAAAAGCTTATTTCGTTCATTCACGCGAAAATCTGATCTTCCTACAGAAAGGGCAAATATGGAGAATGAGAAACCGGAGCGAATCCTCTTTTTTTTCACTCGACAAAAAATTCTCAATTCAATGCATTTCGAATGCCGTCACTTGCCTTTTTCTTCTTCCACGTCAACAAATCGCCAATGGCTACGCGCGCGCGCGCGACAAGAACATCGCAGAGAAAGAATTTTCATGCACATAGATGCGGGTCAGTATATAAGATGTATACACTTCCAAGCACACACACATACAATGGCATGCCTTCGCGCTCTTTTCTTTCGAAGGAATATCCAGACGAAAAATCCACTACTACTTGAACGAGAAACGTTGAATGCAAATAATCTATAGGTATATATTTGTGTGCGGGAGAAAATTGAGAAGAACATGTCCGACGTGGAAAATATTCGCGCGTAAGAAATAAACTATGACGTACGTAAAACGAAAAAAAAATCACAAGCCTTCGAATATTATAAGCATTGCTTGCGATTTATTTTTTGGTAGTATAAAATACTTAGTAACAAAGCCAACAATTTTGTCATGAGTTTTTCTGAAAAATTGAAAAATGGAAATTTTTAAGGTGGATCCACCCCCGTGATAGAAGCATGAAGAAAAAAATGAGTAGGATAATCGCATGGATGTTTGGGTCTCATGCCTGCACGAAATTTTCAATAAATAATTTATTAACTCAAAAACTCATTAGTTTTGACCACAAACTAAAACTCTATTTATTTTATGACGTGTATGACGGATTCGATTACTACGATACAATTAAAGGCCAAACAATAACGTTAATTGAATCATTAATTAACTGTTCAAATTTTTCTCTTGGTGAGTAAAATTACACAATTGAAATTGCAAAATTCGATGAACTATATAGATTGTCTTATAGTTCAAGTAAGTTATAAGAATATCGATTCTTATTGTCAAACTTTGCTAATTTCAGTCTAACGATAGGTTAGTATAAGGATAGTATTTTCTTTTCCTTCTTCTGCAGATATTATTGCACTTATTATATCGACACTTGGCTTCAGCCCAACAAAATTATTTCTGGGTTTTGAATTTTTTTACAATAAAAATTGTGCCAAAAACGCTTGGAGCATTCGAAAATTTTTTCGATGACCTTCGAAATTGAGATGTTTTTAATTTGTGAAATTTAATTTTAATCGGTATAAAACTAATTAGATTTGATATTTTTCCAAAAATGTTAATACTTTTAATTGCAAAGTCGATTTATTATTTACTTCCCCAGAGGAGGAGCGTCCATTAGTTGCTGCAAACGTAACAAAATCATTAGAGATACTTTTTAAATTAAAAAATCTTTCATAAATTTTAACAAACTCACTCCGAGCACTTGCATGATAGGTACTTGATCTTTGTCACTGAAACCTGTGAAAAAAAACCCAATCGTTGAAGAAAACTAGAAGCATCGTAAATTATAATACTCACCGCAATACGGCGATTCGGCCGCGGTGATCACGATGAAATTTCCTCGCTTGGTGCTTTTCGAAGCGTTGATACCCATTTCAGGACAATCGGAACAAAATTCACCGTTTTTTCTCTTTTTGAAAGCTATGATTGCATCTTCGTAAGAACCGTCCCACGGGTAACTAGCGAATTTGCAATTCCCTTTAATCGAATTAGTTATCGATTCTGCGAAATATATATGCGACAGCTTGTGACTGCAGCCCATCTGAATCAGCATGGGAGCTAGAACTGATTAATTTAATATTATTACAGGATTTTTTGATACTTAAATTATCTCTTGATACGTACATAGGTTTGCACAATTGGGCTGAATTACACCGCCGTTGACGTAAAAATCGACGTGACCTGTCAACGCACACAATAATATTTAAACCCACGATCTTGTATAAACATTTACAAAGTTAACAATACCTAAACTCTCTTTCAAGCCGAGCGAATTTATCCCTTTATTATCCTCTCCAGCCTGCGTATGAATGATATCAACGAAATTAGCATCGCCCTTATCGATCTTCCACTGCAGATTGGTCCGGGTGAAGCAAGGCTTGGCCGGATCCAGGCCGGTAATTCTATCAACCGTCCAAAAACGATCCTCCTTCAGTAGGTGCGCGGCCTGCGCGCTCACTTGAGCGCCCAAACTGTGCCCGATGAAGTATACCCCTCGCCAATTTGTCTTGTCGACCGTGCGCTCGTTAATTACTTTCTTTAGCGAATCTAAAAAGCTGCGCGCGCGAGAAAGAGAGACAAATTGAATCTCGCAAGTTTTCGACAAAATTAATAAACAATGCTGTATATATGTGCTCGTACTTGAATATGGCTGCAGACGCGACTTCTGTATTTCGCGCCGAGTTTACGTAGTTAATGTCGTTACTGCCAGCCTTCCAGTCGACGAGGAAGACGTTGCCATCGCCCTTTTACGGAAAATATTTAAATACATAATGAGGGGCTGTATTACTAAGTAAACTTTATAATTTTCTGCCTTTATAAATTTTTCACCGGATATAACGAACGATACAAAATTTTTATTTTTTAAGCTCACCAACTCCAGGAGTTTATATTTCAAATCCAAAATCCACTCGTCGTGACTCTTGCCCATGTAGCCGTGAACGACGATATACAGCTTTTTGGAAAAATCGAAACCAGTCCTGATCAGCAGCGGCCAATTTGGCTCCTTTACGCGCACTGCGCTCCTCTCTTTGACGGTTGACAAATAAAACGTCACCGGGCTTTTTTGCGGAGATCGCGAGCTCGTTAAGAGCAGCAGCGGCCCGACCAGCGGGATGCTTTTGAATTCGGGACAAGCGATGTCCTCGTTATCGGCGAGAACATGATAACCGGGACGCGGATTTGAAATAACGATAAAACAAACTATTAATGCAACTCCTCTCATCGCGAGACCGAGAGAGAGAGAGAGAGAGAGAGAGAGAGAGAGAGAGAGAGAGAGATTTCAGTCGATGCGCGAATGCGAGAAAACTGGATTGTACTCGCCGAGTATATCTAGCTTGCTTTTCAGGACGCGTGAAAATTGTTATCGGCGCAATTTTCCATCGGCGCGCAACGATAATACACATCGCGGTAATTTATCGATATAGAAAATAAGCTTCGCGGCGCACCTGCACCAACAACACTCGTCGCTATGTCGCGGCGCGCGTTTCATTTATTTTCGCTCGCGACGCGTATAACAATATTCACTTTGACTCGCAAAGTTGAATCTCGAACGAGCGCCCAATGGTTTAATTATTATGTATAATCTCGGGTAGCTACTACCGTCGCGCATTACCCCGATGCTCGCCCTAATCAAACCAGTTCCCTCTGGCTCTCCTGTACAGCAGCAGCAGCAGCGGTAGTGGTAGCGATTCGAGAATCAAAATCAAGCATATTTGCACAACTGTGAATCCTTTCCGCCGGGTCTATACATGTATATATTTTGTCTGTCTCTCTCTATCTTGCAGCTGTTTGTTTACGCTTAACGAATGTGCGGGTGACGAATCAAAGTTACAGCTACCGCCACCACCAACGCGTATATATATCTACACACACCATGGCTATGATGCCTTTCGGTCCTCGTCCCTCTTCTGTCCGTACCCGATGAAGCTTCTAATTGCTGCTGTGGGGCAGAAGAGCTTATAGCGCGTCACTTGCCAATTGTCTAAAGTTATACCTTTGTGTGTGCGGGGCAATGTTTAATTTATCGCGATAATAAATTTGTTCTCTTTCTTCTTTGTCAATTTTTTTTTTTTTCATTATCATTATGTTTGTCGTCACACTCGTGCGTCCGCGTGGAGAGGAGTGTGTATAGCTTTTGTGTGAGCAACGTTGATGATAATTTCGTTATTATTTCGATTATCATTTTAAATTGTATGAATAATTCATCCAGTGCAATGCTCAAACAGTGCAATGCGAAGAAAAAATAAAGCCGTAAATATAAACCGTTGACGGTGTATCGATTTTTGTGCGTTATTTTAGCAGCACCTCGTCGACGACGGCGACGACGACGAACGACGCGAGATATCATCGTGTATACATGTAAAGGAAACTCATTAGCCAACTCATTCAACGCGCGATTGTCGTCAGGCATAATGTACAGCGCATAATACACCTAAATACGCGCCGCGAGAGTGCTACTTCCTATGCTACCTAGACTTCGTCGCGCGTTAACAAGGCAAATTAGCGTGATTATGTTGTCAAAATCTAGTCATTCGGCGGCGGAGGGGCTCTTTCTTCTCTTTGCTTAAATGGAAAATACGGCCAAGGCTTTAGTTTGTATTAAGTACGCGCGTGTGTGTGTGTGCTTTGTGTTTCGAGCGACTCAAAAGCATACGTGATCCTCATGAATAACGCGGCAAGCACAGAAAGCTCGAGCGCACAAGGGCATTGTAACCCACGTACTTGCCTTGCACTCGCGATTTCGAGCTTCCTGCAGTATAGTGTGCGAGGGAGGCGCAAGCGTCGAGTCGATGGCCCGTTGTATTATTACGCGAATTATAAGCTCGAGCGAAGGAAGAGCCTGGAGGACCTGCGAGGAAATTAACGAAGGATGCGTTATTCAGGTGGCTAATTCATCGGTGCGAGGAACTCTGCGGGAGGAATTATTTTCACGAGAAAAATTTTTCTCGACCCGACGTGACTGGGATGCAAGAAACTTGAGATAATATTTTCCTACGTAACAAAGATTAATTATGATGAAATAATAATTGTTAATTGATACAAAATCAATATGAAAAAGAAAATCAGTGGTTTAACGTCTGCTGTCAGCGAACGAACGGCGTACTTGATTATTTCGACCAATCTTTTGAGAGATCGCTACTCTCGCAAAAACTACTTGAAAAACTTTTCTTATACGCGTAGAGAGAGAAAAAAATACATTCCGCAGCTTTAGTATTTGCCATATTACCTTATTAAAAAGTCTTGTTTGTTCTTAACATCTTCTTCTTTATACTGCCGCAAGATAAAAAACTTGAAATTGCATCAGTGAGTTTTAACCCCTCTGGCTTTTATCGTAAACTCAACAGTATATTATAGATATATAAGCGGAGAGGTGGGTTATAGCTGCTGATTCTCTCCACCGCCACCATACCGTGCAACAGCAATAGTGCGCCTGTGTTGTTCTCTCTCTCTCTCTCTCTCTCTCTCTCTCTCTTTGCCGCACGAGAACGTGGCTAAATAACGAATATTTATGTGTAAATGCCAAGTACTCGTGGTGGCGGTGCGCGTGATCCTTTTTTCGTGTAAGAAATGTTAGATACTCGTTTTTATACGCACGATTGCTGATGAAATATAAGAAGATGTTCGTAAATGTATGGTTTTTTCCAGAATTCACGCGGAGTATATTAGAATTTATGGACTAAGCCACGAATATCGAACAGTTTATGCGTTATTGGCGAAGTACTTCCTTAAATAGAATTTTCTCGCGGAATTCAATCTTTTTTCTACTTTCCACTTTATTTTTAAGTTTTCCGTTTTGTGGAAAATTGACTTTCAATATTAAATTGATATTTGATCTGAAAAAATATATTTTATCATTTCTTCGACTTGGCTTTTTACTTCCTCATAGAGGAAGTTATGTGATGGGCTCGAAAATGAGATTTACAATCAGACGTTGTAGGAAAATTTGTCTTACATATTTGAAAACTACATTGAATTACCTACAGATGTCTGTATGTATGTTGGTCTTCTCGGGCTTTAGGCTGGGATGTAAGTGTATAGTGACAGAGCATAGACACAGGATGCAATGTACTCTCAACACATTCTCTTTTTACTACTAGCTGAAATTGAAGATTTATGATTAATTTATCGATAACAAAGGTTTAGTTAGTTTAGATTAGTGGTCGTACATAATAATAGCATTATTTATAACGAAGTTCTTTGTCAATAAACTGGCAGTAGATTTTAATTACAATATTTTTGAAGAAATTTTAATTTGAAAAATTAATCAATTATTTATAACAATTTGAAATCTCTTTAAAATCTTTTCATTCTTGCATAAGCATTTTTAAAAAATATATAAAGTATATAATGCTTTGACAAGTAACATTCTGATCGACTATAAATATGTAAGACCGCGCCTTAAGGTAGGTGAAACTTCATGCGTGCGTGTGATTCACTCGTACTGTTTATAAGGCGCAGACTCTTGGATTTATTTCTAACCTTCACTCAAATTGTAGCACTTTTTTTAAATTACTTTTTTAGTTACAGTACTTGGTGCAACCAACGATTCTTTTTTAAACTAAAGTTGTTAAATTTTTCATGAATAATAAAATGACTTGGGTGCGAGACAAGAGGTATGATAGTTTTTTATGGAACCCAAGAGGGAAATTGTTATAATCGTCCTATGCAATGACATGCCATTACTAAGTAAACTTTTACTCCAGACGACTGTAGAAATTTCAAGTTTTCTACCTGCGAAGACTGACTGAATTAAATGAGCAACGATTATCTCGTAAGTGACAGTGAGATTTGGTGATTATTTTCAAAATTTCAAACAAGAATACTTTTATTCGTGAAAAACAAGTGTCACTGCGCGATAAGAAAACTCATTACTTGAAATTTATCCGCCGAGATCTTTTCTTTCAATAAATCAGCGTCTCGATGCAGTCATAACAAAGGCACATACTTCGAAGCCGAGAATCTGAGCAATCAAGTCTGATTTGTATTTGCATCAAGCCGAATACGCGTGGATTCCGCTGAAGTCTGGCACACAGTCCCGATGTGCGCGAGGAATTTTGCAATTGGAATATTGGGAATTTCTTACTTGCCCCCCCCCCCCTCCAAAGTTTGCCACACGTTTTGCCACACGCTATTTATAAACAAAAATCGATCAATTTTAAATTCGGAGCCAAAATATCAACGTGGAAAATTCAACAATACGAGAATAAATTGATGTGCCTCGGGTCGTTGAGTTACACAGCGTCAATCCCTTCGCCTGGTGCACGATCCACAGGGAATCACCTTGTAATTAACGCACAGCGAGCTCCACAGTGAAACACCCCGGCAACGTCTGTACATACGCGATCGGCCATACATGACGTTTATGGCAAGTGTAACGCAAGCCTAGCGATGTGTACACTGCTGCTTATGTGCGTAGTTTGTATAAACACCTGCTATTGTTCCACGCGATGTATTCAACCAATCTTGTGTCTTGTCACTTGGGACCGTTAAGGAGGAAATTGTTGCGCATCGCGCTTGGCTTGATCGAGACTACGGATACGGCAAAAAAAAAAAAAAAATTATATCGAACTTCCGTTGTCTGGAATTTTAATCAATGACGAATGTTAAAATCGTGCCAATTAAAGTCCTTTAATATTCTGGACTCTTTTTCTCGGCCGCAGTCGGTATATAATAGCCTAAATCGTTTTATCATTGTTTCTGGTGAATTAATGTTTCGGTTATCTAGGTAATACATTATTTCTAAGTTATTATTCCTTTGTATTTATGCGAGTCATTTATCAGTTTCAACGCGCGCACGCGACTTCTAATGCTTATTCATATAACCATTGAAATATACCGAAATAACCAAAAATTTATACACATCTCATAAATTCTAATTGCGCCAGGCATTCGTTGTCCATTATAAATGAAGGATGAGCCTCGACCGATCATAATTTGTAAAATCCAATAATTATTTCAAATAAATAAATTAGTTCGACGATATCGGCATAATTTGCACTACTTCAATAATTTTACGACCCAATTGGATAAAGAGGTGCCGGGAAATCTCTTCAATCACAATAAAATCAATGTATCAATCAAAAACACTTATCAAATATTCATTAGAAGTTAGTTTTAAAAAATTCGTCCTTTATAATTACTTTATAATTTGTCCAGTTGAAATTTCACTTAACCTCGCGGAAATTAGGTTACTGGAGAAAGATACAGAGGCGTTTAAGGTGAAATTAGCATAAGTTCGCGTGTTCTCAAGCCAGGCATCGCGCAACTTTTGTTCGCAGTTTAGACAAAGCTTTCACATAACTTTTTAGCGCTGATAGCATTATCGTGGCCACTAATCCGAAATTCTAATTGTTACACGATCAATTAGTTTCCTCTTTGTAACAACTTGAATACTTTATTCTAAAGCAAAATCCATAAGTTGTAGTTTATGGAACATTTCGAAAGAGTAAAACTGAAGAAGTCTCGCGATCGTAAAGAGTGAAAAATATCCAGCGTGGAAGAGACAATAAAAATCGAGCCAATAATAGATTGTTGTAAATGGCTATAGGTATCAAATAAACGTTGAGAAATAACGAGATGATTTACGAATTTTTCCAAACCAGCGCCAAATTCATAATTTTTTTTTTCACCTGAAGTTGAAAAAATATTTTTACCTACACAGCATTTATCACAAAAAATTTTGTTTGTCAGATTGAATTTATGTTTTATTTGAATGTCGATACAGTGATGGATCGTAATGTTTGCTTTATTGTTGCTGGTGAGTTATTTGAAAAACGCCACTCGCAATATTTCACCCTTTTTTTACGAAAATGTATGCAAGTATCGCCACTTCGATTTCTTTCTTTCCCTTTTTTTTTCTTCTTCCTCGCCTCGCACGCGTGGATCGATGTTAATCGACCAGTGCATCGCGCGTTCGTTCTAACCCGTGCTAATACAAACTTAGCAATCCTATCAACGGTCTGTTTCTTCCTCTTTATCTTCTCGAAACAATTACTCCGGACGGGGGGTGGCTGGCATAAATTTCGGTGGTTGGCTCAGTTGATTGGACTCGGTGCAGCACTTCATTTGCCCTCTGTACCTCTTGCTCTCACTCTCTCTCTCTCTCTCTCTCTCCCTCGCCAACGGGTGGGAGACAGTAAAATACACACAGACGCGGAGTGGGCGGAATTCGCTTGTAATTCATCGCGTGAATACTTGGCTGTTGCTGTTACCACCGGTTCTTGCGTGATTTACAATAACTTTCCGCCGCTTGCTTGCCTTCGAACTCGATTCTATCTTTGGGGAAAACGTCTTTATCAGCCGCGAGTTTTGATCTTGAAAATTGCTACGGTATAATATTCAAGGTTTACACTCCCGAAGAAGTACTCCGAGAGCAATTTGAGAGCACTGGTGCTGAAAGTGTAGAGTCTCGTTTGGGATTGTTTTCTATCCGAATCGAGCTTGCACATCCAAAGCTTATTTACGACAAGAGGCTGAGAGACTTATCGAAAAATGAATGAAACTTGATTGTGCTTGTATTTATAAAAAAGAATACGTCAAACCAAAGAAGTTCAAAGAAGATTATTTTTCATTAACCTTATAATGAAACGATAATAGAAAATATGTACAACGCCGCATGTACAATTCGAAAAGAAATGCACCGCGGATTTCGTCAACAAATGTAATCGAACGCGCATGAAAGTAGGTCAAGTCAATAAACTCAAAGCGCCTCTGCACATCGGCCACTCAAGACTCGACTTTTGTATATGCGCTCGGCGTTAAAACTTGAATAAATAAACAAACGAAAGAAATAAACACTGAATGCCATATACTTGCGCAAAAGTTTATACTCTCGCGGGGTGAAACTTGACGTAGGGTGGGCTAGAGAGACTCTTTGTGACGAAATAAATCGATATATCGCAGAGAATACGAGAGAGAACGAGAGAGAGAGAGAGACCTGTATTCATGTCGCGCATAACCAAGAGAAAATACGATATAGCTATAGCATATAAGGTGTGTGTAGCTCGGGTTCGTGCGAGTGACGTTGGGTAGCGAAGTGTTTCGATTTGCATTAGGTTGGCTTGTGTGCCGCCGTTTCCTCGCTCGAGATACTGTACTACTACAACGCTGCAGCCCTGGAACAGCAAATTCGGAGAAGCTTCTTATTCTTCTATGCTACTACTGCTGGTGTCTGCTGCTGCTGCTGCTGCTGCTGCTGCTGCTGCTGCTGCTGCTGCTGCTACTACTGCTTATACACGCAGCACTGAAGCTACGATAAACTTTAAGGGAAAAAAGTACTGGAGTGACGCATAGACTCTCCTATTTAGGGGAATTTTTTGTTCTTGAAAAATCATTCTTAATTTAGATATTTTTCGTAGAAGATTTTTTTGTTGTTCTGCGTGTTCGTAAATTTTCAAAGCATCGCTAATTCATTACGTACACGCTTCAAAACGTATTCAAATTCAAAGTTACGCTGCGCGCGTCGCGTGTCTTTTACCGGCGAGCTCTCGGTTGTCGCACTAAATGCAACTTATGCATGACGTAACCGTAATTGGAAATAACGATTCGGTATGTAGCAAACGTTTTCTCTTTGCGTGGACATTATACGCAGTGCGCGTGGCTTCATATTTAGTATATATGGGCTATATCGCGTCAACTGTCCCCCCCCTCTTTTTGATTTGATTTTTCATATTTTATTCTGCTTCTCAAGGATGAATATGAAAAAATTACTGAAACATGATTTTTCGTGTAAAATTTGATGAGGAATTAAAATTTGATGTCAAAAATCATTTTCATAACCTGAAAATCCCAAAATTACCAAAAATCAGTCTCATAGCCAAAAATAAACATGTTCGTATCCAGCGATATGGCCAATAGTGTAATATGTTCATCGACTGATCCATAGCTCCTTAATCCTAAATTTTGGTCATCGTCAGACAAACAGACTTCGGTAATGAGCATCATATGTGTCTATGAAGCATGGTTTTTCTCTAATTTTCCTTGATTCTTGATACATACGATGCTCAATACCGAAGTCTGTTTGTCTGACGATGACCAAAATTTAGGATTAAGGAGCTATTGATCAGTCTATGAACATATTACACTATTGGTCATATCGCTGAATACGAACATGTTTATTTTTGGCTATGAGACTGATTTTTGACATCAAATTTGAATTCCTCATCAAATTTTTCATAAAAAATCATGTTTCAGCAGAAGAAAATATGAAAAATCAAATTCCAACTCTGATCAAGAGGAGGGAGGGGGCAGTTCACGCGATATAGCCCATATATATTTGCGAACCACTCAGTCCAAGATCTTCGGGCAATTTAGCTGAAGATTTCTTCAAAGCTTCCAAAACTCTTCATGAGTCTTATGGTACAGCTCCGCACCAATTCGCATCAGTGAAAAGCTCGTGCAACGCGCGGGGGCGTATAACGATGCAGCAGCTCTAGTGTGCAGGAGGATCTCTCTCTCTCTCTCTCTCTCTCTCTCTCTCTCTCTCTCTCTCTGTGCGGCGGCATGCTCGGCGAGGATGGAAATTAATTTCGAGCTTAGGAGTATTGGTAAGGATCACGTATTTTAAGGAACTTTCCCCAAGCAATCCTATTACTTGTTCCATGTCTTTCTCTCTGCTGCGGTTCCTTTATTCGAAAATTACGCCCAGTGCTGTAATTCAATTCAATAAAAGTCGTCGTTTACTTCAGTCAACTTCAGCGAGTATAAAGTTTATTACCACTAACTATAAAAGAGCGTGTAAATGACTATTTGGTTTCTAAGTAATTAAAACAACTATTCACTCAATGCATCTCAAGTAGGTACATTGAGTTTTCTATTTTTCCGTTCGTTATGTAGAAATTTCAGTCGTCTTCGGTGTCGCTGTTTACTGAATCAAATCTCGCAGATCCTCGCAATTTCTGTAAAAATTTAAAGTACATTAGTTCGTAGGATCTTTATACAAATGAGCATTGATTACAAACCTTAAGAACTCTCAATAATTTTGGCTCGTCTTCTCTTTGAAAATCTAAAATAATATAATGAAATATTGTTTAGCAATCAAATTTAAACATGTATTCAAGTACAGACAATAGAAGAGGCTTACCACAATACGGCTCGTCGATCGATGTCAAGACTAGATAAGTTCCTTGTTTGTCGAGTTTCGATGCGTTTATGCCCATTTCAGGACAATCGTTGCACATCACGTTATTTTTTTTGAAGTTCAAAATCTCCAAGGCCTCTTCGTAAGATCCGTTCCAGCGATGGCTGTTAAATTTGCATGATCCGTTGACTGCGTTAGCCAAGGACTCGGCGAAATACTTGTAGGACAGTTTGTGACTGCATACCATTTTTGTCAATTTAGGAGTAAATCCTGCGAAAATATTTATAAGTTCGGATACGATTATTTATAAACTTGATGTAATTTTAAAAACTTACTCGATCCCAAACATTGAGGTTGTGCTACTCCTCCGTTTACGTAAAAATCGATGTGTCCTGGAAAATTAAATTATTTCGTTACATTATATATTTACATAAATCTATAATGTGATAAAAAATGACTTGCCTACTCGTTCCTTGGTTCCCAACGAATCGAAACCTCCGTGGTCATCGGCCTGTGTATGAATGATATCGACGAAATCTGCATCGCTCTTATCAATTTTCAAACGCGGATCTATCCCTGAAAAGCAAGGCTTGGCTGGATCCAATCCCGTGATTCTCTCGACTTTCCAAAAACTGTTTTCTTTCAACAGATTGCTCGTCTGCGCGCTTATTTGCGCGCCCAAACTGTGCCCAATAAAATGTAATCGATTCCACATTACTGGCCCATTAACGCTTAATCTTTCCACTTGAACTCTCAATGTTTGCAGGAAACTGTGAGACACGTTTGAATGTAATATTTATAAGTGACTGTTGTCGTTTGAAAAATTGAGATTGTAGCTTACTTGAATATTCGATCAGTGGCAAATGGGGTATTACGTGCAGCATTGATGTAATTTTTTACGTTGCTGCCTTGACTCCAATCAACTAGGATAACGTTTCCACCTCTCTGAAATATAATACATATTTTTAGAATTGTTTCCTTCTTGGACAATTTTTCAGTCAGTTAAGAAAAGTTTCAAAAGTGTGTGATGACCCGTTTCTCGAGTCTAATTAACTCAATTCTTCATACTTGAATTGACACCAATTTATTGGAGTGACGTATATAATCAACCGCGTGATTGAAAAGAACAAAAACTTCAAAAATTTTAAAATATTAAACCTGCATTGCATGAAGCGAACGAGGATAAAACTCAGTAACAAAAAGCTTTATTATGACAATGTAAACAGTTGCTTGACAATTAATTCATCAATTTTCGAAACAAAGCCTCTATTCAAATGCATGATTTACTGCGACGAGGAAAAAAAAAATTGTGCAATTGTGTGCATTTACCGCGTCGAGCAGCTTATCCTTTAGATCCAAGACCCATGACTTCCGACCTCCGGACTTGTAGCCGTGAATAACGATGTATGTCTTTTTCGTCGGATCGAAGCCGCTGCTCTGCAGTGCCGACCAATTGACGATGCTCAGCTCCGCCGGCTGCCTCTGCTCGCGCGTCGACAGGAAAAAATCCACGCCGACGTCCTCTCGCGTCTTCGAGCTGAAGATCTTCAGAATCGAGCCGACGACCGCCATATTTTTGAAGTCCGAGCATGTTATGCCGGAATCGCCGATGACTTTTCCGCCGAGCGTGGATAGAACGAGACAACACAGTAGTAGAGCGGCTCTCATCGTGATGAATTTTTTTCCAAACGATCGATTTAAAATTTATTTTAAAAAATCGTGACGAGCGTTTTCCCGCGACGCCTGCGAGTTGCCTATCGACGGAAGAAACTTGTGATTTATTTTGCGCACATTCGACGCATGCGAGCTCTTAAATGGCTTGACTCATACTGCAGCAAAAATTCTCACAACGAGCCGTCTGTCGTCGACTCACACGCAGACAGAAAATCTCACACACGTGCTTACACGCACACGTACATACTCACATCTCGTTCGTTGCGAGTCTTCTCTGCGGTGCGTCTGGCGTGTATATAAAATTACAAGGCCGGGATAAATGTTTACATTGTCTGTGTACGTATACATGTAACGCGTGTGTAGTTACCTACATTAGGTATTTCCAATGATAATGCCACGAGAGGATAATAAAAAAAAAACACAGGCTTGGGGATACGACAGTCGCGCCGCGCTGAATCATATGTTATTCAAGCGATTAGAGTTTTTTACTGCTCTGTTGATTTTGTGACTACATCGAATAAATTAGTTTTCACTCTGATTACTTCAGTATTATTTTTTATTTACACGTATTATTATCCATTAAAGAATTGATTTCTTTCCAGTGCCTTTTAAACCAACTTGCATTTTCTGAAAAAAAAATGTCAATCTAGTTATCTTTGAGATGCGTTTTTTTCTAAAAGATTTAATTCTTACTTACCTGAACCATTTTCAAAGCATAAGCCAGATCTTCGTCGTCATATTCTAGAGTAAAAATTCGATCGTTACGTTTTGTTAATTGTTCATGCTTTTGATTTTTCATACTTCGCCACAATTGCACTTACCGCAGAAAGGCTCCTTTCTTCCAGCAAAATTTATGAATACCCCAAGCATATCGCCACTCGACGCCTTTATACCCATTTCTGGGCACGAGGGACATTCGTGATTCGATTTGGTTGCTTTCACGGCTTTTTCAGCCGAAGCCAGAGTTCCGTCCCAAGGATAACTCAGGTATTTGCACTTACTGTTGACCAAATTCTTGATCGACTCGATGAAGTATCTATAAGCCGCTTTGTGGCTGCAGATCATCTTGCTGAATTTCGAAAACAACACCACTATTAACGCGATAGGTAAAGTACTGACGGATTTACTTGCATACTAACTCTGGCTCGAAACCACGCACGACGGCTGCTTGACACCGCCGTTCACGTAAAAATCAGCGTGACCTGTAAGCAAAAAAAAAAAACATCGAGAACAGCTGTAATCGCGAAGAAAGAAAGAAATTGACGATTCAAGCGCTGCATCGATCGCAACCTATAGGATCTCTTATTCCGAACGACGCGAAGAAGCCCTCCGTCTTGCCCATCTGCGTGTGAATGACGTCGACGTAGTCGGCGTCGCTCGGATCCAGCCTGAACGCCAGGTCGATGTTCTTGAAGCACGGCTGGGCCGGATCCAGGCCCGTGATCCGCTCGATCTGAAAGAACGGATCGACCTTGAGATGGGCCGCGGCTATGCCGCTCAGGTGAGCGCCCAGACTGTGACCGATGAAGTGAAAATGATTCCACTCGGGCTTGGTGGCGAGCTTGGCGTAGCTCAGCTGCAGATGATGAAAAAAACTGCGGGTAACAGAATGGTAATGCGTCATGCGTGGGATTTTTGGGCATGAAATCACCGAAAGACTTTTTAACGACGCGCGTCTTTTATCACCTACGTCGTTATTGTAATTCATCAAAGTCGTATACGTACTGCACTATGTGCTGAGCGACGACTTCTATATGGCTCGCGGATCTCACGTAGTTTTTAAAAGCACTTCCTTCCTGCCAGTCAACGATGATGACATTGCTTCTTATCTGCAAAAACGACCGCGGGTGAACTTACGCGTATGTGCAACCAACCGATCTTTGTGTGCTTTTTCGCGAGCGAGTCGTTATTATGTCGTTATTTTATATTTTCATCAATTTAAAAGTATAATCACAGCGTCCAGAAGCGACTCCTTCATCTCTTGGGGCCACTTTTTCGTGCCGCCCGATCGATAGCCGTGAATGATGACGAAGGTCTTGGCCTGCAGATCGAGAATCGGCGTCGAGGTGAATCTCGTGCAGTTGGTGCAGTCCACGGTCAGTCCCTTGCGATTCTGGCGCGTGTAGACGAGAAACTTGACGGCCGTCTGGTCGATCCGGTCGTGGTGGCGCGCGAACATCGCGTGGGCGAACGCCGACTCCTTCAGGTCGTGGCACGTGAACGTCTTCGGCTGCTCGTAGGCCTGGACGCTCTGGTGGCGCGGGTAGGGTCCAGCTCCCGTGCCGAATAAAATTATCGACGTTAGATTGAGATAGTACAACGGTGAACGCATGATCGCGACGATTGCAAATTTCGAAGAGACGGAACGACTGCGCGGTAAGACGTACCGAGAGAACTCGCGCCACAGCTCGGTAGTTTTATTGTTTTTTTTTTTTAATTTTTGCGTTAAATGTTTTAGTATCCATCGCGTACGTCACGATTCTCTCGTTAATCGTGACTTTTCGGGGTATTAAAAACTCGACATGAGCTCAAAAAGTTTATTCGCTTGAAAAGTAAAAAAAAAAAAAAAGAAGAGATAAAGTAAATTCGCTCCACCGCTTGTGCGAAGGTATAAATTAAATTAGAAGTCTCCGACAATCGAAGGCCTCTCCTCTCTCTCTCTCTCTCTCTCTCTCTTCGTTCCTTACAATCAGCTCGAGCTCTATCATAAAATTCCGACCAACATCCAATTATGAGGTATATGTAGGAGAGAGACAAACTTTCGGTCGCCTATCGAACATCGCCACTCTCTCTCTCTTCTCCTCCTCGTACACTACAAAGTTCAAACACACATCTCTAAGATTTAGGACGATAGTTGCCACTTGGCGGCTGGGCGCGCGGCGCGAAGTTTTGTGCCACTACTACTAGCTCTGCACTTGCCGAGCGGCTTGTTATCCCGCGTGTATGGCGCACGCTATATAGCGTTGGTACTATAACGTACATAGATATATTGCGCCACGGCGTCGGCGTGCATGCGAGTATACTGCTGCCGCGGAGAGATCTATACGTGGCATCGCCCAAACTTGATGCTACAAAGAGGCCACTTTAGTCTTCTCTCTCTCTCTCTCTCTCGGTATAGGTTTATAAGTGTGTGTATATTGCAACTGCACAATACCCACGCCGCCGCCGCGGCTGCTGCTGCTGTTGCTGCTTCGGTGTATGTGTCAAGATATTCGCTGTTTTGCCGCGGAGAAAAAAAATCGATAAATAGGCGGGGAGATTCATTGATCCTTTTTTTTTCCTCGAGAGGTCAGCGCTTAGCCGCGATTACAATTTGAAATAACGAAATTCGAGCCCTTTAAAGATCAATTGGAAATAAATCATATGATCTGTGGCTCTTGAACGCATCTCATTGTGTATACGATAAGTGTATGAGAATACTCCGTTAATTCACAACTCTTCATTAGAGGAATTTTTTTTCATCCAGCAAAACGAATGCTCCGGCCCTTTGTCCTCGATAAAAGCAGCATCGCTGAAACAAAAAACGCGTGCCGAGAAGTCGAGTGCAGCAGCGCACATTTTCTCGCTCAAGCACACACGTACTAGTCGCACAGCGCTCAATGGAATAACCGCACCCGCGAGAGGGGGTGGCACCCGAGTATCGATATCTCGCCACTTGTTTCTTCTTTTTCCTCTTTTTTTCTACTTTCGACATGTATAGCGCGAAGGAATTTACCCGGACGAAGTACGAGAAGATGTTGAGCTGTGTGCGAAGCTTCTGCAAAATTTTTACTTTCCGACTCGCAGAAGCAGCGCAGCTTCTCTCCTCTTCGTGCCCCATCGGGGATAATATCGCCCTTGCGCCCCGTGTAAGGCGCGCGCGCGTTCGAAACACGTTCGGCAAACGGGGAAATAAGGTAACTAACGGTTAGCGTTGCAGCGCACAAGTCTGTTACTTGCTGCGGGAAATTGCGTTTGGAAATAGTTTCGAAAAATTCTTTTATCGCGTTAAGGGCGAAGTTTAAGCTTGTTGTGCAGAAATTTCATACGTTGATTTAATGATGCTCATCGTGCGGGAGCTCTCATAAGCTGCTGCTGCTGCTGCTTTTGCTAATTTCGTTAAAACTCGTGAGAGAGATCCGAGTACATGAGCACGTCGCGGATTATTTGGTACGAAATTAATTTGAAACTCCACGAGTTGCTGCTGCTGCTGATCATTGGAATATCGTAATTCTATTTTGTCGATGCGAATTTATAAAGCTGGGATTTAAATTATTAAGCACTTATCTATTGTTAGAAATAGATCAAATATTACGTAAAAGTTATCTATAATTATCAAGGACAATCAGTTTCGAACCATATGTCCACGATCTTGCCCGATAAGGAATCAAAGATAGAATTAGACTTTTCAACGCAGTACGGAGAGATAAGAAATAGAAGAGCGCACAAAAAATCGAGCAAGAAAGAGCAGAGAAGAGGGAGGAAGAAAGAGAAAAGCAACGATAGTGCATTTTCATCGTCAAACTGGAATTTCATTATCCACCCTTTTTCCTTGGCTATGTATGTATTCGCTTCACCAACTGCAATACACTTTAGCCGCTGCAGCTGCCTCTGTGCACGTGCACGTGCAGGTCTCGCGAGCGCGTCTTTGTGTACGTTGCCAAGGGGCGCCCCGCTCTGTTCAAATACTTTACGGTTAATTTCAAAGTGCATTTCGTTTGCCGTTGATCCGCCTCGAAATTGATTTTATAATTGATTTTTTGGCAGCCGATAAAGGCTTTCTTTTTCTTTTTTCTTTTTTGTTAAAATCCTCGTGGTCGAACTCCGGGTTCATTATGAAAGTTTAACCGACCGAAGCCGAATGAAAGTACACCATCAGCGAGAAAAGATTCATTCGGGTACATATATATAAATATACACCTGATGCTATCAAAGCAGTAAAAGCTCCGCGCCGTGAAGTATAAGAAAGGACACCGTTGTACTTGGCGCGCGTGAAAACGCTTGAATGAGACACTTTAGTCACTTTGGGTGTGCGGATCAAGAGGAATCTAATGTCAATCGCTCCCTCCTACGCTCGCCCACCCACGCACACACACCGCGCGGCCTCTTCTACGATCATCTTTCGACGGCTTTTAATGAACGCTCCTCCTCGTGCTTTTCGCCTTCTTTCTCTCTTCATATATACTTCTTTTATGGGTCAACTTCACTTTCTCATTGCGAGGCTTAGTATTTTTCTTCATATACTTGCATAGCGGACATTTTTTTCTCCTTTTCTCCTTGACTCTCAAAGTTTTTTTAATCTCTTTCTTTTTTTTTTTTCATTGTCGATTTTTTTTCTTTCAAAAGTTCAATGGTCACCCGCGCGGGTGAGCTTTGCATAAGAAATGCATATTGCATATAAAGAATGCTTAGAAGTTTTTCAGCTATTTTTCATCGCGCTAGTTGGTTTGCATAGTTTGTTCTTTAACAAAAAGACAGAAAAAAACTGTTTGTAGACACAAGATGAAATTCTTTCCCAGTGTTGCACAGAGAGTCATGATTTATAAATATTTACTGATTTTTACATTTTAATAGGGTCTTGATCTTTCCTTTGAATCGTCCCATGACCAATTACACAAGAACAATTACACAAGAAGGCTGAAAAAAAATAAAGAAAAAAATTAGCATTCTCGAAGCCCATTCAAAAAGCTTCATTACAGAATGGTAAATCTTCTCATCGTTCTCTCTACACCGTACAGCACGCTCTTCTCTGGGTGGTTAAAAGTCGTGAAAAGCGAGTTGGAAAAACGACGCAAATAAACCCTCTCCCTCGACTACGGCAAATAAAAAAGCATCGGAGTCTTGCGCGCGCGTCGAAGCTCCTAGCCCGAATAAAACTCATCCCCGAAGGTAAGGGAATTTTCTTTTTTCGCACTCCCACCCTTTTCTGCCAGCTTATCGCCTCGCTATGTACTAAGCTTCTCGCTGGCATCTGAGATCCATTAATCCGAAGCCACAGCGAGCGAGAGAGAGAAAAAGAGCTTTGATGAGAATGAGAAAGAATACACAGATGCGGGGGTATAAAGCGACGACGTGTGCACAAAGAATTTAATTCTTGTTAGGGGGTTGTGTGTGTGTACTACTAGTTCTGTCATACAAATCATTGGAAATGCTTCAAATTTCAAACTTTTTTTTCTGATTTGGCCTATCGTCATTATTGCACATAAAAGAAAATAAATGGAAAAGTCAGTTAAAAATATCGAGGTAAGGCGCGTGCTTGAATTTCGCTGCTTTCCTCTCGCTGGTCGGAGCTTTTATCGTGCTTGGCATCGTCGTCGCGTCGTCGCCGGACGAACTGCAAGCGCGCGCGAGACCGGAAGAAATTACCTCCGGGCCAACGGAGACGCTGCTCGCCGGAGCGGCGTGAAAATTCGACCACGCACCTGCAGAGCGAGGCACGCAGCAGCCACCGCCGACAAAAGCTTCCGCGCTCCGGAAAAAGCTTAGCCACCCCCCTAAATTGTTTTTCGTTCGTCGAGTCATTCTATACATCAGCGTTCCCGGGCTATACGCTTCCTCGACTCTGTAAGTGAGTAAATTTCTGAATCGATATATGTTATTATCAAATCGTGATTACAAAATTATTATTAGCGCGAATTGTACCTGCTGTACGTTGGATTTTGCGATAAGATACTCGTGCGCGGGATGATGATTCATCCGTACGCAGCTCAAATAAACGTCGATCGCGCGACAATAACAGCCGCGAGTTTTGTCATCGTCGAATGCGGAATGGAGTCAGAGCTTATTGTTGCCCCGCATTATTGCAACCCGAAAATACCAAAATTTCGATTGACCTCGCGCGCGCAAACAGTCCGCGCAGTAATGGAAGATTTCAATTTACATCGCTCTAATCCTCGCTTTAAACATAACATGTTCCGCTCACCTGAATATTTTTGCCGCACATTCCGCTCTGTGCTCTACTATAGTTAAATTAATAAGCTGTTTAGTGCGTAATGCAAATTATTCAAGTGGTGCGATTAATCATTATAGAGTACAGTAGTGCGAGGATTACATAACGAATTCACTGATACGCGCCGCGCGGTCTTGATTCCAAGAATTGTAAACGCATTTTTCCTCGCTCGCTCTGGATATCACTTTCCGGGTGTACCACGAGCACATATTTACCCATGTATTTTAAGTGGAAAGGCAGTCAGTTCGTCATGACGACGCATATAATACCGCCTAAATTTGCAATCGGAAATGCAAGCACGATGTCGCAGGATCAGCACTCCAAAACTAATGCATATACCCACCCGCCCACGCACGGGCGCATTGCACACACACACACACATACACGAGCGCTTATAAACATGCATTATGCTACGAGGGATGCACTGCGATATATATGTATAT